GAGTCGAGTGGTTAGTTGTCTAAGGTTGCGGTCTGAAGAAAAGAGCGCCGTGTCATCCGCGAAAAGCGCGAGTTTGACGTGGGGGTCTTTAGGTATATCGCTCGTGTAGAGCATAAAGAGCAAAGGTGAAAGGCAGGAGCCTTGTGGTACGCCGGCCGTGAGGCGGCGGCTTGTGAAGAGGGTGCCTTCAACTCGATATCGAAAAGAGCGGTTCGATAGGAAGGCCCGGATGGTGTGTACGAGCCTATCTGGCACTTTGAGTGTGTACAGCTTGTAAAGCAAGCCGTTGTGCCATGTTTACGGTGATTTTTGATTTTGGTGAATAGTTGATCGGGACAGGAATGTCTAGCTCGAAAGCCGAATTGTTCCTCCAGCAGAAGGCTATTGGAAAATACGTGCTCTTTGAGCCTGTTTAATAATAGCCGCTCATAGAGCTTCCCTAGGCAACTGAGGAGGGTGATGGGACGATTGCTTGAGAGCTGATTAGCGGGTTTATTCAAACGATAAACGTGGCTTCTTTCCAGTCGTCCAGAAAGGAGCAACTGGACAGTAATGTGTTGTAGATGGTCGCCAGTAACCAGATAAGCCTATTCTATGATCTCACCCACTGCGTTGGATTGTTTTTCAAGTTATCTTCGAGGGCGTCAGCAGTTAGTTCGCATAAATGATACCTCTTCTCGTTGGAATGACTTAATTGCTGGTGTGCCTCAAGGCGGAATTTTATCTCCTATGTTATTTTCTCTATTTATCAATCTTATCACTCAAAATCTTCAATGCTCGTATCACCTCTACACCGATGACTTACAATTTTATACACAGGCCAATGTCCATTGCTTATCTATAGCAGTGGGTAGGATTAACAGAGATCTAGAGCATACAAAATCGTGGGTCAATAGATTTGGTCTCTTTGTTAATCCCGCTAAATGCCATAAAATAATTATTGGTAGTCGTCGCCTTCACTGCTGGCCGTATGAGGAAGCTCAAAGTCGCTCAGCGAGCTATGGAGCGGACTATGCTCGGTATTTCTCTGCGTGATAGAGTTCGTAACGAAGACATCCGCAGTAGAACCAAGGTAACCGACATAGCTCAGAGGATTAGCAAGCTGAAGTGGCGATGGGCCGGCCATATAGCTCGTAGAACCGATAACCGTTGGGGAAGAAAGGTTCTCGAGTGGCAGCCTCGTACTGGCCATCGCAGTGTAGGACGACCCCCCACTAGATGGAGTGACGACCTGTTCAAATGTGCGGGAAGTCGATGGATGCAGGTGGCTCAGGATCGTACTTCGTGGCAGTCTGTGGGGGAGGCCTATGTTCAGCAGTGGACTCAAACAGGCTGAAATGATGATGATGATGAGTCGTCGAATGCTTAACAAGGTACAAACAAATTGTTTACCGCCAATTGTATTCAACGGCACCGTAATCCAACCAAGCTCGGTGGTAAAAGATCTTGGGTTACATATCGACACTAACTTAAGCTGGCATGCTCACGCGAATCATGTCAGTCAAAAAGTGACCGGTATTTTGCGAATTCTCTACCGCCTACGCAAATTTCTTCCGTCCAAAACAAAAGTTTTACTTGTGCAGTCCTTAATTCTTCCCTTGATCGGTTATGGTGCTATTCTGATCTGAATGCAGATCTTCTCAACAAATATGACCGTCTTCTCAATAACTGCATTCGGTTTGTTTTTAACCTTCGTAAGTATGACCATGTGTCTGATAAAAATAAACATATAGATAAAAATATTGTATATAATACATATATAAATAGGACCCAACCAGACGGAAGCCCTCGGCAGGGGAGACCAAACGGCCGAGGGTTAGGGTGAAAGGGAGAGAAACCGGCGGACGATGCGGGCGGTATCGAGGAGCACCGCTTTCTGCATTAGAGCTTGGAGCGCTCCGTCCCGGAGTCCCAGTCGCCTCAGATGTCCGGAGAGGCTGACTGGGATCAACCCATTGGCAGACACGACTATCGGGATAATTTCGGTCGGCGCACCACCCCACATGTCGGTCACCTCGTGAGCCAGGTCCAGATACTTCGTCTTCTTATCGGTTTCGGCTTTCACGAAGTCTCGTCACTTATTATTATTATTATTACTAACCACGGACTACTTATTTACTAGTACTAAACATATTTATTTTCGTTAAACCTAATAGTACTTTATTTTTTTTACAATATTCTGGGTAATATATCCTTCATTTTTGTTTGAAAATCATAAACATTGCTCTGATGTTCATAACACTAGAAACAAGCCGGTCTTAAAGGATATTTAACGGTGGTAGGGCCACGCAGGAGCCTCGGCTCTTGCACGAATGGGCAATCTGCATGAACAAATGAGCATCTGCAACTCTCGGGTGTAGCAGATTTCCATGGGCGGCGGTACTCACTTAATATCAGGTGAACCGACTGCTCGCTTGGCAAATATCACATAAAAAAAAATCACTAGCGAATATGTTTAAAAATCGGACTGTTGCTTAACATCTGTTCAATACAAACTGTTACGTATGCATATGCCTTCACTTTAAACGCTAACCGATATGACTTGCCAATTACAAAGCAATTCGATCCCATTTAAGTATCTCTTGTAGTAAATAGTCATTTCGCTAACAATACATCAAAATACTTGGATTACTTTTTATATTGTGGTGATCGGTAATCACCACAATAAAAAAAGGTTAATATCTACTCGATTTTCCTCGCGGCACTTTCCACTCCACATTCAAATAATTATTATTGTTTAGAAACAATAATCAATGAATAAAGATATAGCATATAACATATCACAAATTATAGCAATTGGAATATTGAAAATCCCACTGATGACTAACGCAAACTTTTTTAGTTTCGATATTTTTTCCATTAAAAAAAGATACTTATTAGAATTATTACTTACATCGACTTTTACAGTATGAATCATTTTTACCTACTCTAGCCTGCGACCCAAATAACACAAAAAATTTCTACCTGCGCGGTAAGGGGTCTCACATTTGGGCACAATACGAACAGTAAGCGGCTGATCTACAGCGATTATCCTGCTTCCGAAAGCCGGCCCCAGTGAAAAATGTCCACAGACGGCGGGAGTCGCGTCGATCAATATTTTGTTAAGAGGTACACGGAAGTTCGCATCATAACACCGTACCGCTTAAATTTGAACCGAAGTGCGAGTGTTTGCGCGCAAAGCGTCGCGCATACTAGACCCGTGGCCACAACTTTGAATAAATATCTTCGCAAACCAATAAAGTGTTTCGTGAGTTACTGTGATTCATTCGGGTGAGCCCCCAAGAAGGGGAGTTTGTCCATTTTTATATTTACAACGTGTCCCTCGCGGCATGCGCGGCGCTTGTCCGCCAGTCGCTCTACTACAGTTTCACGCACCAACACCACTGCAATGAAAGTAATGTAAATATTACTCATACCATAATATTTACAAACAAATTGTTATTTTCAAAACACGGACGATCTGTGTCAGTGAAGTGGACGTGGAAGTGCCTAAAAAGTTGTGGAGTTTATGTGAAAAATACTTAAAACAGTGATTGTGTATCGTTTAGTTTCGATCCGAGTCAACTATGGTCGAGTACGTGCCGCCCGTTCCTAATGTATTTCAGGAAACGTTTCAGCTAAGAACTTTTCGTTCACATATCTCACGCTAGAGGTCAGTATTGAATAAACTTAGTAGTTGTGTAAGTTAATAAGTTGTTATTTCAATTTAATTTTAAAATTTCCTAATAAAATATATCTATATATAGATGTTAGTTAGGGTTCAAACATCGAAGCTCTTCCCTTTTGCATCCCTTCTCCGCCCTTTACGCATGATCGAACGACAGAGTTTAGGGGTTCGCTGCGAATAGGGTGCGAGCCTGTATGTGTATATTTATACTATTGTATGCTTGTGTTTAAATTTGTAGTACGGGTTGAACTTTGACTATGCTTTGTATGGATATCAATGAATTTCTTTAATATTTTATTTTAAACATCTATAAATTGAAAATAAAAATGAAGTTTTCGCATAATTTCTCATGGTATATAAACAATTAGCATCAATTTAATAATTGAAGAAACCTATTATTTATTATAATTATTTAAAGATACGAAGTTAAAAATCATGTTATATTTAAGAATAAAACGTATTAACACAAAAGCATGATCTAAGGTACCTATTTAACTATGAACTCGATTAAAAAAGCACAAAAACTTTATTGGTTTAATAACCATTAAAAATGAAATTAAAATATTAAAACAAACCATTAGACATAGAGTGGATGATGTGCAAATCAAAACAAAGACGCTACTGATCACGCAGATTGATCTTATTACTCGGCATTTTTATTGATAAAGTGAAATGAGTGAGTGAGGCGTCTATGCAGATAGATGCCGTATAGGAGCAAGACGTAGCGAGCGACATCGGACATGTTTGTTTTCATACCGGTCCGAATTAACGTCGCGATTGGTTCAAAATCCATAACTGGCCTCCGAGAGCCAGGTGTCGTTCACACCGCGGCCTCGCGCGCCTCGTCTTGTTAATCACTCGTGTTCGCTATTGTTATAGCGCGTCGTACAGCCATCTTTGTCAAATTACGGACGACTCATTTCAATAATTCGGTTCGTGTTAACAAATGGAACAAAACACAGATACTGTTACCGACGCGTCGTGCGGCCGAATCGAGCACATTACTACATTCTCTTTTGTTTTATCGCTGACGCTCCGTTGAATGGAAGCGTTACGACTTACGGCGTTAACGATCAGTCGACCATTAAAATGATGGATGATGTCGTTCTTTGCAAAAACTGTGTAAAGTGATCGTCTTAGTAAATAATGTGAAGGGTGTTAGTGCTGTTTATGTTTTGGTGTGCATGTGATGAAAACTGCGTCGTAATTTGCTGTACACATTGCATAAATGAGTGGAATGGCGTTGTGGAGCGCGCGGGCCGGAGCATGCGCGCCAGTATCTTCGCGCTCGCTGGGAACGCATTAAGTGTCCTTCGTTTTCGTGAATATCAAAATGGGAAGGTCCAGGTTCCCCGGGAAACCGCTAAAATTCCAGAATAGAAAGCGCATAAGTGTCCTCTCGGGCGCTGTTTACCATGAAACTACTCCGGAAAGCCATCCAGCCGCTCGAGGCTCTGGCGGCAATGACTTTACTGGGGAGAAAGAGGTAAAACTAAGTTGCCTGATTTCTAATACATTGTTAAATTATTACAAATATTGAACAATGCACACGCGTAAATGTTGTGTTTACGTAATACCTTTTAAGTCTAAGCGAGGCGCCAAATGTATGTGAGCGCTTCGGATATGAAAGAATTTGACATTCCATTCTACAAAGATAGCCTATGTTGTATGATGTCAACAAAGTTAATTTAAGCAAATTGTATTAGATAAAACATAAAGTAAATAAAAGGTACCATATTTGCACCCTTTAAACGATTTTAAAATAAATATTCAACCAAACCTAACCTAATTTTGGTTACTAATCTATTGTGAATAAAAAAAATTAAGGTCATAAATATATTTCTTGAAGATGTTTCAAGATGTAATTGATATGCTTCATCTTTGCACAACAATTCTAAATTAAATACTCATTAATGATTGCTAACAGTATTATCTCAATGTCAATATATACAATTTGACCTTGCAAAATTTATAAATTCATTTTATACAAATTCCAAAGGTTGAATTGTCGTTTTATGATAAGAAATGCAAACAGAAGGGGAAAATTTATGTTATAGTTACAGTTTTATTTTTCTATTTATGGGTCAGTGAACATTTGTTTGTTTACTGCTTTTAATTGATGCATTATTTACACATAGAAACATACAAAACATTTTCAACTGGTAACCTGAACCAAAATATGTTAAAAAATCTCATTCTTAGTTTTATTTAAAGAAGTGACCAATGATAAATGGAATATATAATAAGCACATAAAATAAATATATAAAGCTAGAATTTTTATTTTTTGTATTATAATGTACTGTTTAATCCTCAAAAAATCTTCAAACTGCAGCTTCATGTTTATTTTCTAATTCTGAAAATTTAATAATGGATTTTTAGGGCTACGGTTGATGGTGTATATAACAAAAAAAAATAGAAAATCATCTTTTTTATCAGAATTATAAAAAGCTTATCTTCTATGAATTGCAGGAAGAAGAGAAGAAAGAAAATAATAATGAGAATGAGGCAAACTCTACCAGTGAGAATAAAGTAACAAGTGAAGGTTTAAAAAAAAACAAACAAGAGGCTCAAGAAAACGGCAGTGACTTATTAAAATCACCAGTGCGCACCCGATCACAAAATAAAATGGAACCTAGTAAAGGTGACAAGCCTAAACCCGTAAAAAAGACAGTCACGTTTGGTACAGTTGAGAGTTGTGAGGATATATTCCTTCCTCTTAAAAAAGTTCCAATTAAACATCATGCACCTCTTGTGTCTATTATTAAAAAGAAGTCTTTGTTTAAGCAAACAGAGTACTCTTCATTCAACAGTATTCTTAAACCTGCCAAGCTGACAGATCTAAGCTCAAAATCAAGTATAGAGCAACAAGAAGGATTTTTGAGGAAGAATCTCAATCCTTTGTCTAAACCAATGAATAGGTTCTCACAATTTAGCGAAAGTCGATGTATTTCTCCACCGCCTCGCATTATTTCGCCTGTGGAAAAAGATAGTGGAAATTCTTCAAAATTTGTCCTTCCAATTCGTAGTGCCCATTCATCTCGGGTAATAAAACCCAATAAAAAATTTATAGACGGTGAGGAGCAAACAACAACATCAAACAGTTTGTGTTCTGGAAAAGTGCTGAAGAAGCCAAAATTAAAGCGTGTTGTTTTCAACAACTTACATGATGATGATGATTCACCGGAGGAAGGGGAGTGTGACAAAAAAGATAAAGAAAAAAATAGAGAAAAAAGTTTGATGGCGTCATCAAATTTATTCAAAGGTAAAACTGCAAATTCTTTCTCTACTATAAACACTGGTAGCAGAAAGCCTTTACTTGATCTGTTTGCAATAGAAAAGGGGTTAGATTTTCCCTCTGATGAAAACTCAAATGTTGAGAGCTTGGATAAATTGAAACCCACTGAATCTAAAGAAGAGAGAACTGGGCATGCAATGCGTAAACTTATGGATATATCAGATGCTAGTTCTTCACCAAGCACAAGTAGTGGTTCTGAATCTGAAGAAAGCTGGGAGAGTGAAAGTCCTCCTGGAAGTGGAGATGAAGAGGAAAAGCCTGCTTCTATTAGTCCCGAAAAAGACAAGTCAAATCCATCTCAACTATTAAGAGGCAAAGTTATAATAAGGGAAGCAAGACTTCAGTTAAATACTACAACTCCTTCTAATACAGGCTTAGATGGCCCATTTTCTACTGTTGTACCATCATCTTGTAAGTAATCATTTCTGTTGTATATGAATACAATAATAACACATTTATTGCCTTACAGATGCTTTACAGTGCAAATTTTACAAATCTAATTGCAAATTCCTTAATATGGGTAGATGATTAATTAATGTAATCTTTCATGAAAGCTTATCTAAGTTTACGAATTTTACATAAAGTTTTTAAGCTTAACCATGTCTGGCCATTTTTTCTGGTTCATTTAAGCTTCATCTTAATATCAGATTTATTTTTTTTTCAATAACAATGTCTGTAAATATGAATAATGTCCTTGAAATTGCCAAATGTCAAAATTTAAAAGATAACAGTAATATCGCCAATAAATTTAGTTGTTAATTTTTCTTTCAGCTCCCAACCCTCCAACAACTGTGACATGTGGGGTTTGCGGTGCTGTTCGTTTCTATAGGTTTGTGAAACAAGCACGGAAGTTTGGCATTTATTCTTGTGAATCATGTCGTAAATTTATATCAAAAATGTTGAAGAAGGAAAAAATGTCCCAGAGAACAGGTCCAGTAGTTATGCAGTGTCTGAAAGGGGAAGGTATATATTATTTATTTTATTTTTACTTTAGGAATTATGCCATACCAATTATTTTTGTAAAATTAACATATATTGATGTGCTAAACATAGATTTTTATATAAGTAAGTAATTGGACTTGTTTTTTTCATATAGTTTACAAGGAGCCTTTAGAATGTAAGTCAACTTATAGAATATGTAGATTTTATATTCTAAATGTAAACTGTTAAACATTTATTTCAACAATAATATATTTATGATTCTGGTTTAAAACTGTTAGTATAAAAATTTATATCTTAAAATACGCAGGTAATGTCACAGAAGTAGTAAAATTAGTATTTCTTTATCTAAGGTAAAATAAAAGCGTAATTTTTTTCAGGTAACTGCCATGTTCCACCCATTGTGAGATCACAACAATGGAAACTGCTACGCTGCACAAATAAAACGCGTTGTCCAGCCTGCTGGTTAAAAATGTGCCTGAAAGCCTTCCAAGTGCCTCCAAATCTAAGGGCTAGCCTTACTGCAATGCTTCCACCACATATGAGAGCTAGTGCTAAGCCATCGGGGCCATTAACGCAAGCAAATCCATTACGGATTACAGGCAATACAACATCTACTTCTCCGCCAATATTCAGTGCTACCAATACAACAACTACTTTGACCACCGAAAATGAAAAACTATTTGGAAACTTAAAATCAATAAAGAAAGTGTCTGAAGATGTTGAGAAACAAGAGGTATGCATTTTAATATTTTTTTGTTTCATTGTCATATAATAAGTAAATATAAAGTAACAGCTTTTGACTGCTTGCCAAAAGCCTCCTCTCTACAGAGTGTATCAGGGTCCACCACACGACTCCACTGTGGATTGGGAGATGTCACATAATCTTCGAAAAAAAAATATTATTTCGAAAATATGCAGGTTTCCTTACCATGTTTTCCTTCACTGCTGAGTATGTGATAAGTCAGCACTTAACATTAACATCCATTCATTGGTGCCTGCACTGGGGGATCTAACTCGGGTTGCTCGAGTAGATTGAATTTAAAGGACACTCATGGTTCAACATAATTATAATGGCTAGGAATATAATAAGTATGAAATATTAATTTTTGTCATGTTATAGGAAAAAATACAGGAGAGTAAAGTGGATGAAGAATCCAATGAGGACTTTAGTAATAATAGAAAACGCCGCCTGACAAGAATTAAAGTTCGTAAGAAAGATAAGAATGATGTTAAACAGACTGAAGATCCTAAGAGACAGAAAATGGAGCTGAAAGGTCCACGAGTAAAACATGTGTGCAGGAGCGCATCAATTGTTTTAGGGCAACCTATTGCAACATTCCCCACACAAGAAGAGAAGGATAAGCCTGAAAAATCTATTTCCTCTGATGACGACATTAATACAGTTCCCATAACCGATAAAGAGAATGGAACACCAGATTTGTCAAGTTGTGAATCCGAAATAGATGCAGAGAATAAACCTCTTCAAACAACAACACAAATTGTCACCTCCAAAGAATTTGACACTGAAAATCAAACGGAGTCTAAGAAGAGAAAGATAGAAATGCCAATTTCATCTAAACCTCTTAATAAGATGGAATCAAGTGAAGATGAAATTGTTATGGACCTTATCCCAAAGAAATCAATACAGAAGCCTTTGTCAAACATTACAAACGTAAGTTTATTTTGTATGTGTATGTCAATGACATTTTATATTATTCCTGGAGTGAAGTCACTAAATCCCAATTGGGACATTTTGTGGTGACAAAAGAAAGAGGCAGCAAATAAATTTAATATGGGGATGAGAAAGACAGATGCACCTCGAAATGTTAAAGAGACAAAAAGAAGATGCCAAGCATCTTCTTTTTTATTATTGCTTTAATTACGCCATTTTTTTTGGACCAACTGAAACGAAACATGTGTAAACAAAGAATGTGTGCTCTTACTATTTTTAAATAGGAATACTTTCAATGATTTTTTATACATATACCATACCTCTAATTTAAAATATCATTGGTGAATATCATATGTATGTCAGTTTTTTGTTTATTAAAAAATTTAAGTAAATATATTTGAAGTTCAAACTTCCATGGGAAGGTTTAGATAGGGAGTAAATTCATGTAAGTCTTCATCGACATGGTCACTTGAAACAGTAACACCATATCTATTTCTATCAGTATAAATTATTGTGCTTTTAATTAAGTTGTATTTATATTTAATACTGGGCTTGCACAGCCCATGTGTGTTGATGATAAATAAACCATGACATGAATTGTTGCTCAGAGTGCCCATACATGTATGAACCCAATAATTCTAAACAGTTTTGATTGACAAATTTTTATTTAAGATCAAACAATTAATTTGGATTTCCAAAAATAACAACTGTTTGTTTATAGTTTTAAGTTTGCACTTCTGTCCATAGTCTTCGTGACTGCTTTGAATTTTTTTTTAAGATCCTCTATTGTGTTCTAGATTCGTGGTCGGTCACAAAAATGTGGACAGAACCGACCAGAGCTTATATGTGTCGATTTCTGGGAAAGCTATGATCCTGATGAGGTCTGCAGTTCAGGGTTTGGGCTAATAGGCACAGCTCCATTCACAGTGGCTAGATTGTGTTTCTTATGTGGAAGTGCTGGGAGTGAAAAGGTAAGTTATTTCTTAAATCTTATTCTTGTAGTGTTAGATTAAAAAACAAAATGCTTATTTTGCTAAAAAAAAAACTGATGAAGTGCGGGTCGAACTCATGCATGGAGGGGTCTTTACCTCCTACCCATTATATTCCGATAGTAAAATTGGTAAATAATCACCATCAAAGGGTGGACCTAGCAAGTGGAAATTTATACCAGATACTCAGTCCCGATCAGGAGGTCCATAATCCCTATTAGGTGTATAAAAATCAAGGTCCTGAGTGAACACGATAAAAAGGTATGGAGCAATTTAGATTTTCGCGAAAACTTTTAATTATTTTAATTTTCAATTTTTATTTGTTGACCTTGCTTTTAACCGAAATTGACAATCCTAGGTCAAATGGAAGAACTGTATAGGTTTTGGGTCGAATATGGTAGTTCCATTTGGCAAAAAAACAAGGCAGCACAAATAAAGGAAATTTCGAAAAATAAAAAAATTGAAAATTAAGGTAAATTTTGGTACTCACAAGTTTTCGCGAAAATCTAAATTTACCTATATCTGTTTATCGTGTTGACTCAGGCCATTGATTTTTATACGCCTAATAGGGACTATATACCTCAGTATATGGTATTAATTTCAATTTTCGAAGTCCATCCATTCGTGAGAAAATCGGTGGTGACACACGGACAGACGATAAGAGTGCATTTTTTGCCTTTTATTGTGAAACCTTTAAAACCCTTTCATTTAAACACATGAAAAATATATACTTGTTGGAAAATATTTAAAAATTTTAGTAATGTATTAATGGAATATCTAATTTAAGGAATATTAAATATTTCTGTAGATGTTGGTGTGCTCAAGTTGCTGTGAATGGTATCATGGATGGTGCGCTGAGGATGCTGGGCGTAGTGCAAGTAGCGGGGAATGGACATGTGCGCGCTGCGTTGCTTGCGCTGTATGTTCCCGAGCTGCAGCCAGGTTGCGCTGTAGGTCTTGTGCCCGGCACCACCACGCCGCCTGTTTGGTGCCTGCCCCACCTGATCACCGCAGCGATTGGCCACAGGTATGATTAGGATGGACATTTACAAGAGAGTCATTAAAAAAAAAAAAAAAAAAAGTAAAGTAACAGCCTATACATGTCCCACTGCTGGGCAAAGGCCTCCTCTATAGAGAGGGTATCAGGGCATAGTCCACCACGCGGCCCCACTGCGGATTGGCGGACTTCACATATCTTCGAAATATATTTTTTTTTGTTATTATTCCGAAAATATGCAGGTTTCCTCACGATGTTTTCCTTCACCGCGGAGCACGTGATAAGTCAGCACTTAAAGTTAAAAACTTCATTGGTGCCGGCACCGGCGATCGAACTCAGGTTACTCGAGTATATTGAATTAAAGGCGAGCGCCCGGACACTGGGCTATCACGGCTCTTACAAAAATTACAAAATGGCTATTACAAAAATATCACCAATATATTAAGGAGAGCTTCCAAATTGCTCATTAGTACGTACACACCATCTCTTGATGTTTTGCAGTTTCAGTGATCTTAGTTTATTTCTCTTAGTAAAATGATCTCAAACTAGTGGAAGCAACCAGCTATTTTCTTTTCTTTTTACTTTTATTAGAAAAGTATCAGACAAGATTGAGACACATTAAATAAGTATTCTGCAAGTAATTTTTCATTTAATTCACAGATTTGCAGTGCATGCTTGAAATGCAAGAGCTGCGACAATAATCGTGTCAACAAATTCGTCGGAAGTTTGCCATTTTGTAGGCCTTGCTTTAAACTTCGACAGAAAGGCAACTATTGTCCTCTTTGCCAGGCTTGCTACAGGGATAATGATTTTGATAGCAAGGTACTCTAAATCAGTTTTTGTTAAATATATGTAGAGCAGTCTTTATTATTGTAAACATAATTGAATTATTTATTGGTTTATTTTTAGATGATGGAGTGTGGATGGTGCGGCAGATGGGTTCACGCCAGCTGTGAAGGTTTGTCTGGGGAAGGCTACCAACTTCTTTCAGCATTACCGCCATCAATTGAATACATATGTTGTAAATGTATGCCTCATGATCCACCTTGGCGGAAAATGTTGACGGAGCATCTCAAAACAAAACTTTTACATCTACTAAAGCAACTTGCTAAAAATAAGAAGGCGTGTGCTCTGTTAAAGCTTACACCGCATAAGAATACACCTGTGCCAAATAAACCGTACCGCCTAATGTCGCCACAAGCTATTCGGAAGTTACATTTTGATAATGGTGATGAAACCATGAATAACACTACAGAGACAAAAGTGTACAGAAATACTTCTAGGGGACGACGTAATAATTCCTCTAATAACAAATTTGAAGAGCCTAGTAATTCGCAAAACATTTGGCACTGCTCATCATTATTTACAGATGTAGCTATGGAAAAGGAGGATATACCACATACATCACATAAGGTTGTTAATTTGCAAGAGCCACTAATGCAAAATAAAGAAATATGCTTCTCAACTGGTCTATACAATAACAAAACTGAATTTAGTTCATCGTGTGTTGAAGTACATGAAAATTATTCACCTCAAATTAAAACAGAGAAGGCAATGGCTATGTTGCCAACAACCATTCACGACGATAAATATGAGGCAATTTCAGATGATGATGAACCAGTTAAAAGCATCTCTCAAGCTTCCAGTGCGCAAGATCTTAGTCCAGCTTTAATACGACAAACAAACTTAGTGGATGAAGACATTACAGAAACTGATTTTAACAGGATAGTGTCGCCATCACTACTGGACATCAAGAGAAGGGTGAACAGTGATGAATACATTTCACTTAAAGATTTTAATCATGACATGAAAGATGTCATTGTACGAACATCAAATGAAGATCTTCGATCAATATATAAAGAATTATTCTGTGAAACGTTCCCATGGTTCGACTGCGAAAATAATTGTCTGCAGCCAAACCTAGAAGTCGAAGGTGAGCAAGATGATACAGAGTCACTGAAAGATCATGATATGTCTGAAAACAAAGAAAAATCGGATGAACAGTCAATAGAACGTCCGTTAGATCAGATCGTTCCAAAGTTAGAATCTGAGGGAATGAAAATTGAAGAAGAATTATTGGAGTTTTATCCAATGGTAGATTCAAGAATCTGCATCCTTTGCAAGGTTGTTGGTGATGGATTACCTGCCATGGAAGGCCGTTTATTATATTGCGGTCAAAACGATTGGATTCATGCTAATTGTGCACTTTGGTCTGCAGAAGTCTTTGAAGAAATTGATGGATCGCTTCAGAATGTACACTCTGCTATTTCAAGAGGAAAAATGATAAAATGCGCATCGTGTGATATAAAAGGCGCTAGTGTCGGATGCTGCGCTAAAAACTGTAGTGAAACTTATCATTATGCGTGCGCAAGGAAAGAAAGTTGTGCTTTCATGGATGACAAACGAGTTTTTTGCCCGACACATGGAAAAGATGTCCCAATAAAAAGTTTGCAAAAGAACGCAGATTTTGAACTAACAAGACCAGTTTATGTAGAATTAGACAAAAAGAAGAAAAGATATAGTGAAATTAATAAAGTTCAATTTCTTATGGGTTCATTAACAGTGCATAGTCTTGGAAAAATCGTACCATCTGTTTCGGATTACGAAGAGTATTTGATGCCGGTAGATTTCTCGTGTACTCGTCTATTTTGGTCATGCAAAAAACCATCAAAGATAGTGAGGTACACAATTAAGACCAAATTGATCCTAGCTGAACCTCTTCCAGGCTACGATTATGGAGTTAATATAACAGTTGATCATACTTTGGATGTTCAAATTGTCGAAAGGGCCATTGCTGAAATTGGCGCTTGGCATGAAAGCTTAGAGACGGTGTCTAACACTGTACGCATGTTAAAGAATGACAAATCACCGATTAAATATGGTAATTCAGTCACCCTGGAAGATCTAGCTGTTAAGCAGGTTGTAGAGTATCTCCTTGACAATGTATGCAAACAAGAACAGCAAGATGAAGAAGAACCACAAAATACAGCAGATCTCTTGCCACCAGAAGTGAAAGACGCCATATTTGAAGACCTTAATCATGATCTTTTAGATGGAATTTCTATGCAAGACATCTTCCCGAAGCTCATGTCATATGAAGATCTCGTTGCCATGGACTTAAAGAACGAATTTTACGGAGCAATGAGTCAATCTGACGATAAATCAGATTCGCGTTCGACAGATTTCATTGATGAACTTCTTAATGCTCGATTGGAATCTGGAAATAAAGAATTAAAGCGAAGCAAGTCAGAAATGCTCTTGCAAAATCATAACCTCAAAACTTTGACAACTGGCCGTGGACAGCAGCGATCCACCAGCCTAACATGGAATAACAAATTTGATACAAGTTTATTGTCATCAACTATTAAGAGATGCAAAATGGGAAAATCGTCAACAGTGACTGGTAAGCTAAGTCCGGTCCAAAGGACAACAATAACCGAGAATACATTAGAATGTATAAAAGAAAACGAAAGGACTAGCCTAGAAAAGAAGCCGAAATCGGAAAATGTTAATAACTCTGAGATTGCTGAAGAGGCGGCACATTCGTCTGGTATTAACTATCGTTCAACTACACCAAAAGAAAAGGAAGATCCTACTAAAGAGAAGGCGGATAAGACAGAAGGATACTATACAGACGTAATCGATTTCTATACTAAAATACAATGCAGCCCTATTTCACAGCTAGATGGTGCCGCGGATTGGTCTGGTTCCGAGAGTACTTGTAGTTCAAGACCAAATAGCCCACGTGAAGATGATTTTACACCAATTCAACAACTTGACGGTGCAGATGATCACCCAGGTAATGATATGCAAAGGAATCATACAAACCAATTCCTGTATAGAGCTAGTGGGACTGAGAGTACATACACTGTTACTATTGCCGGTAATGCGATAAACGGACAACCGGAACTTGTAATGCGACCTTTAGATGATGGTTCGGGGGCTCCTGGTCAAATGGAGCAACTAGTTAGGTGTGACAGATGTCAGTGTACATACAGGAACAAGGAGTCGTACGACAGACACATCCCATCGTGTGATATGATGTCTACAAGCGAAAGTGAGAGTGAAAATCCCAAATCACCAGAAAATAGAACCTTAACCACTTTACAAAATGCGTTTCAAGGCGCGTTCGCCCAACCAATGGTAATACATGCCGGAGTTGTTAGTGGCACAGAGAATTCTGTTAAAGCGGAAGGTATTTCTGCGAGAAGAACTTCGATTAATACACGACAAATTACAATCAACGGCACTATCGTAGAAACACCGTCCCCTGGGCCAGCAAATGAAATGACAATGACAATAACGGAGCAAATGAAATCTGGGACAGTCATATTTGATCAGAGTAAAACAACTAACGTCCAAGTATCTGCCAACCAGCAAGTACTATCATCCCCACAGATTGTAGTTACTCCACAAATGCTATTGCCTCCAAAAACTAGTACTTCAAGTGGGCAGAAAATTATGACGCCACAAATTATAACGCAACCAGGTATTCTTCCGTACAATATTTGCGTGAAACCCGGTAATGGAAATGCTAACATTCAACAAATTCAAGGTGGGGCTGATATGACACAATTGCTATCGGGAGCTGGAGGAATCCAAGTTATATCATCGAATTCTAATCAAGTACTTACCATCCCTTCAAACCAACCTGGAAACATTGCGCCAATGATCCAGGGAAAGAATCATGTGACTAGTTTCCCTAATATGGCTAGTGCGTCTTCAATAGCTTTACCCGTGAATTCGATTCAAGGAATGCCAAATACATCAATCATACAGAATATTCAGCCAATGATACGACCACAGATCCAAGGAAATCCCACTATTGTAGTTCCTGCTATGACTGCGCAACGACTAGCGTCACCCAATTCACAAAATAAGCAACATATTATTCTTCCGGGAACTCCTCAAAAGTCACCGAAAAAGCAACCACCGCCTGTACAACCGAAACCTATTTTTCAGGCTGCAAATCGAGGCAGAGGACGTCCTTTACCTAAACCTACTACAATAAAAAGGCAAACAAAACTCGAAAAGACCTTTACGACCATCAATCAATCACCTCTTGGGCCTGGAAATACAGTAATACAATTGCAAACAAACAATCAGACAGGGCAACCATCCATTATCGTGCAACCTGTCGCAAATCAGAATATTATGTCTGCATATGTCGAAGCGCTGTCTCAGCAGCAGAACCAAAACATGCAGTATATAGCAACTATAGCACCGCAAGGCGATTTTAAGACCGGTCCTACTCAGTTCATTTCACAAAGTGGTTTGATGCCACAGACATTTCAAATACAACAAACAGAATCTGGTGGTCTAGTTGCTGTCCCAAGTGGTGGCATCCCAGTATTGCTTCCACAAGGTAATGTCGGAATTTTACCACAAGCAATACAGCAAGGGGCCACAATTTTGCCTCAAGGAACAATACAAGCTCAGGGTATTATATCGCAAGGGCCAAATGGGCCAACTATATTGCCCCAGGCGATTCACACACAAAATGGAACAACCATTATACCTCAGGGGACTATTCAAGGCTTAGCGCCAGGAACAATAACATCGCAAACTGCTACTCTTTTGCCAAACAACACTTTGCACACAGCTGGAGCAACAGTTGTGCCTCAAAGTGGCATAGGAAATGGACAGACTACTATAATTCCGAATGGAGCATTGCCATCACAAGGAAATGCGTTAATCTCTTCAGCTCCTGGTGCAACAATATTGCCTCAAGGAACACTATTGCCACAATTTTGCAATGATCAAGTATTACTCGGTTCGACGCCTACTTTGGAAATGGTTACGGATCCTTCGGGTTGTATGTATCTCACTACAACGCAGCCTGTATATTACGGACTTGAAACCATTGTTCAAAACACAGTCATGTCATCGCAGCAGTTTGTTTCAACTGCAATGCAAGGAGTGCTGGCTCAAAATAGCAGTTTTTCAGCTACTACAACTCAAGTCTTCCAAGCGAGTAAAATAGAGCCTATAGTTGAAGTGCCAACAGGTTACGTGGTTGTGAATAATGTTGGCGAAAGCGTGTCCACGCAAGCTGCATCATCTACACCAAATGTCGTTACCGCCCAAACCGTCCAGTCAACACCTCAACCATTGAAGACCGTGAAAACTTCTGTACCCAACTTGACACTACAGCCTCTGCCAGATAAACAACAAAACAATGTTAATAGGCAAACTTCGAAAGTGATACAAATGAGCCCTGCTCCGTTAACGGTTGGTTCTCAATCTGGACATGGAAACTTAATGACAGGAAGGCAAAATATCAATCCAATCACCTCGCAAATTCACAGTATGTCAATATCGAATACTACGCAGAACTTGCAAAAATCTAATACGTCTAAACTGAACAATATGTCGATGTCTCCTAATGTCACACTAGTATCCTCTACAGGTCAGCCTATAATGGCCATTTCTCAATCTATACCAAACTCTGTGTCGTCATTTTCTTTGCAATCAATACCACTCTCACAACCAATAGTGACAAGTTCAATAGCTCCATCAATTAACAAAAATAACATGAAGATGGAAAACTCGCACGTGATAGAAATCAGTGGAAATTTGACAGAAAATTCAAATTGCAACAGTTTGCCTACAATAAGCGTTACTCAGAGTATTAAATCCCCAACGCCATGGAGATTAAACCAAAATAATAATGAGAACAAAATGGATATACAAAACATGGCGTCGAAATCAAATAACGCAACTAACAACTCATCTATGCATGTTCAAAATAATATGATTGCTAGTCGGCAAGTATCACACAGCGAGCCGGATAAAATCAATCAGAATTGTATGATGTCGATGTCAAATAATAGTAACAACATATCTTCTGGATCCTTACATTCTCATCAATTCGAGTCAAGCTTAAATGTGAGTCATCATTCGACTCATTCAACTTCAAATAATGTGATACAAATCACAGCAGGTAACATTTATCCACCATCATCAGTTATGAATAGTAATTTTGACGCCGATACCGCATTAAAACTAAGCAAGATAAACGCACTTTCAAAAGCAGAAGGTGGGCATTTGAACTTTTCCCCGGAAATAATGGCCTCGCACTCACAGCATACTCAAAATGAGAAAAGTTTCCAAAATATGGTAAATAACGACAACAAGCACAATTCCGATGGTATAAACAATCAAATGAACATACATAAGCTGAGTAGTTGTCAGGTGGCCAATATGAGCAATTCACCGTCAATTAGCATAATACCTCACGTAATCAGACCTCAAATGCAAAATAATCAAAACTCTATGTCGATGACTAACAACACAAACCAAATGTGTTCTATGTCAAATACTTCACAGGGACAAGTTCACATTTTAAACTCGGCTAGTAATTCTATGCAAAATATTAATATGTCCTGTCAAGAAGCCTCTAATAACAGAATGAACATAACTGTATCCAGTGATAATAATTTACATCAGAACAACCAACAACATGATATATCTATATTAAATAATACTAATATGACTCACAGCAATATGCCAATGATGTCCCATGATAACAACCATCCATCCTCCAACCAAATTCATATAATGAACGGCCAAATTCAACATAATCGTCAAATTGATAATAACCAAATACAAAATATGAATCAAGGCCCTTCAAATAGGCCATACCATGATAATATTATTGGAACACAACAAAACCATAATCACCCAAATATGCTCTCCAACAGGAATACACCTGATAACAACAACATAATGAATCAGTCTCTTAATATGCATAACTTATCTAATAACCACAATATGAACAGATCTGATATGAATGATTTAAATCATTTGCATATGAATCAATCAATATCTAATATGAACAACATGCAGAATAATAGAATGATGATTGATAACATGCAATCACATTCAATTAACAATATGGGCCATCAAATGCATTCAAATAGACCAATGGATTCAATGCATAATCAGCAGATACATTCAATGCAACAAATGAGCCACCATATTAATAATGCCAGCAGACAGCAAATGGATAACAATATGCATTTAAGTCAACAAAATTTAAACATGCAACAAAATAGACAAATGGAAAACATCAGTCATCACCACCAACATCAAATGTCAAATGTTATGCAAATTCAAAATAATCGGCAACACATTGAGGGTAACATGATGAGTATGCATCAACATGTATCTAACCAAATGCATAACAGGCAGCAAATGGACAATGCTATGAATATGCATCATATGACAGCTAATACAGCCAGTATGAATTTAGGCAACCAAATGGAAAATTCTAGTACCATGCAAGGTATGCATGGTAACAGGCATGACAATAATTCAATGAACATGCAAAATATGAACACAATGAACCAAATGCAAAATAATAGGAATTCAATGGAGCATTCTAGTCTCATGCAGCACCATATTAACAATATGAACTCAATCAATAATATGAACATGCATAACAATATTAATAATTCAATGCAGATAACAAATACAAATCATCAATCAATGAATAGTTCATTGATGCATGTGCCTAATATCCCTGATATTAAAAATGAAATTCAAAGCTCTTGCAATGTTAGCTGTACCAATAATAATATAAATAATAATACACAATTCCCTAATGGACAATCGACTTTTGATATGTGTAACATGAACCCAAATACCAATATGAACATGGCTGCTGGAAATATGATTCACAGCATGAATGTCAATAATTCGAATTTGGCTAATAACATGATGATGAGTACTGGTAACAACAATGGCATGTACAGTGCAAATAATCAGAATAACCTAACTGGTCATGACATGCTCATGAGTTGCAATAATTCCAGTGATCATAATGTTAACAACTTATTGCCTGGAAACACTAATCACATAATGATGAATAATTCACAGACTCACACAAATCAAAATCAAATATTAGGTAATCAAGTTCCCAATCCTAATCAAATGAATATAAATAGTTGTAGTTTAAATACTGGTAATCCCGCTCAAAACATTAATAACATGGACAACAATCAGATAAATAGATCAAATATACCCGTAAATGAAACGCCTAAATTCCAACAAGAACCTATAAGGGGTAAAAATATAATGGGACCACCCTCTAATTCAAACATGACGTTAAATAGTTTGTCGAACAATGATTGTTCTAAAGTGAATATAGTAGCCACTGATAAACAAAATCATAATATATCGGTGAATAATCAAATAGGTTACATGCAGATGAACTCGCAAAATAACAGAGTAATCAATCTTCCAGAAAGGAACAGAATCACTAATAATAATAGTAATAATATGAACCAACATGTACCCCAACAACACAATATTCGAGTTGTGACAAATAATAACAACAATAATGTAGGAAGCATTGCATCGGAGCCCTTAGCTTTTCAACAAAAAACTGAAAATAACAGCACAATGATAAATGTTCCTTTTCAAGCAATTCCTAACAGTGCTCCCATGAATATCAATGTTAATTCTAGTAACAACACTGTTAACATAACTGTACAAAATAATTTAGTTGATCCCAAAATAGCTTCAAAAGCAGCAGCTGATATAAGCTTCCCGATTCAGGCAAATACAAATATGTTGCAAAATCAAAATAATTCTAACAATATGATATGCATACCCGTACAGCAGAATAGCACGATTAATTTACCAACTCAAAACAGTACCAGCATAACATTGCCTAAAGCTCCTCCTACACAACAATCTGGTATACCCACAAATATCGTTAATCCAATGTCAATGAGACCTATGAACAGAGTTTTGCCGTTACACCGGGACGGTCAGAGCAAATCGGCAAAAAATTCTAGTGCTAGTAAAACGGCACCTGTGCCTAAACAAAGGCCCGCACCGACAGTAAGTCACGATATGCCTGACTTAAATGTAAAAGAAGAGACTGTTGACAGTGACTTAGAAAAAGCAATTGAGGAATCGAAACGTATGCTCCAATTAGAACGAGCAAAGCGAGAAAAAGAAGAAAGAGATGCAGCACGAGCTATACAACTATCGGCGGAAATGCAGCAAGCTAATACTAGTGCCGCCTCAGCAAATGTGGAGTCACGAAATCACGGAACAATTGAGGCCGTTGCTAAAATGACATCATTGCCAAGTTTGGATACAGTCATGGAAGTAGAGGCACCGAAAGTATTGGTAGAAAAAGATATAAATCGTTCAATCCAAAATAAAATGTCGAATGCTTCAAGCAAAGTAATCAAAAGGCCATTGAATGACAAGAAGACTGAAAAAGAAGCAGTAGTAAGTAAAAAGCACAGTAAACTTTTAAAGGGTCAGGAAAATAAAACATCGCAACCAAAACAAATATGTGATCCGCCTAAAGATGACGGTCCGAAATTAATTTACGAAGTAACATCAGAAGACGGATTTAATTACTCATCGTCATCTCTAACTGATCTATGGACAAAAGTTATTGAAGCTGTCCAAAATGCAAGAAAACTCTCTGGCTTGCCATTGATTCAATACAATCTTCCATCAACATTATCTGGAGCCCATCTTCTTGGACTTAATAACAATGCCTTAAGATACTTGATTGAACAATTGCCTGGAGTAAGTATAAATTTATTTACCTTTGTGAAATCCTCTGATAAAAAACTGTATTCATTTAACTTAAAGGGATATTTCGTTTCCAACCTTTTCAACTTAATTATTATCTATATTTTTTATTTCAACGTTTTGTTTAATTATAATAATGTTAAGACATTATAATCGTGCAAGTAATAAAAAAAAGTCTAACTAAAATTACATTTCAAAAGATCAATAAAAAATAAATGTAAAATTAAGATTTTCTTTTATTTTCCGACCATTCCTAAATACATTTTGTGCATTATTTTTTCCAGGCTAGCCGATGTACAAAATATAAAATACGACAAGGGCGACCATTAAGCAGTTGGGATAATGATTTGGATTTGAGTGAGGGATTTAAGGAAAGTCCTTGGGGCAGTGCACGGACTGGACCCATAGCCAGAAAACAGAATCATGACATGTTTAGCTGGATGGCATCACCATTTAGAGAAGAACCACCACCATTTGGTGGACAAGAAGGAGAGAGTTTGATTTCAAGGTAATGTAAATATAACCACTTACCTGTTTTATCATTACATTTTTCAGTTAAAATAAAATTAAAAAAAATTTTAGAAAATTGAAATATATGTCATATTAACAGCCAATATCTTAGAAATATTTTTATTTTGCTATTGTTGCGAAATTGCAGGTTTTCTCACGATGTGTTAGTTCACCGCTGAGCAAGTGATAAGTTAGCACTTAAAATTAACAATTTCATAGTTGCCGGCCTGTGACCGAGAATCGTCTGTAGCAGGTTCTTTTAATTTGATATTTTAAAACCAAAATTTAAAAAAAAGAGGTTCTGAATTCAGTTATTTTTTTTGTCTTAAAAATTCATTTTGCGTTGGGTTGGGTTCGTTTTAGCTCCCATGTGGTCCCATATTTATTTAATTCGTATTGGACCTTTGACCTCGGAAATAAAAGAAGGAACTTATCAGAATTAAATAGAAAATGTATTTTGGTGAGATATTCGAGGTTACTTTTATTTTTTGTTAGTAAAAATGTACTTAAAATAATTTTAATATTTTTATTTCTAGGCGATTGGCGACTTTACCGCCAGCAATGAGATTTAGGCAATTGAAGGAGACGTCGAAGGCATCGGTTGGCGTCTATCGTTCGCATATTCACGGACGTGGCCTATTCTGTAAACGTGACATTGAAGAAGGTACATTTTGGGCCAATACTTGTACACTAATTTTATACATTTTCACGTTGTAATTCTTAACTTTGAAAACTACAGCTGTGTCATCATTATTTTTGGTTTTTAGTTATTTTGTTTTCTGTTATAAAAACATTCATTAAAATTATTAAAACTTCCGTGATACATTATTGACTAAATGATAAAACTGCTGAACTCGCGTCCAACCGGTGTATTCACCGACTAGATTTGGATCTATCGGAGGTCTTACATCGATGTGAATGGAATGTGTTCGCGGTCGCGCCCCGTCTCGAACTACGAACTACGCGCCTGAGCTCGCAACGAGCTGGGTGCACCGGCGAAGATGACGAATACGGCGAGATCGATTGTTCAAAGTCATTGTTGGTGTTTAGGGACGCACAAAATGTACTCGCTATGTCCACTACTCAAGCGTCAACACTATGTTATATTCGTTAACACTATGTTAATTCTGCCACTTGATGAATTTAAACGAAAAAGTCAAAGTAAACTTATGGCTAAAGCATTGTGGAATATCTTGACAACGCCAATGTGTGGAGTTAATACTGTTGATACACACGTAGGCTAAAACAAGACTATATACCTGTATCATTATATTGTAAACTGACCTTTTTTTAAAAAAAAAATAACTGTTGAGTTTCATTGTGAGTTTTTTTCTTCTCAACAGAAACTACTTTCCGAAACTTACGAATATATTAATTTCTTTGTAAAATTTCGGCGTTTCGTAATAATGCGCAAGCGTCAAAATATATTTTGAATTTGAAAAAAAAATTGAATATAGTTCTTATTGCGCGTCGCGTACTGTTGTCGTTACAAGGGTTTCCAAGTTGGCGGCTAGAAACTACTTTCTAGAATGGCGGTATAATGGCTTGGTACGAAACCCTGTGTGCAGGAGTTCGACTCGCACTTGACCGATTTTATTTTAATATGGTCACATCTTTTTCACATTTCATTCGTTTTATTGCTTTACATAAACCACACCTGACACACTGGAACCCCACAATGGTCTGATAACAATTACGTGTAAAAAATAGCACTATTATTATAGTTTAAGTTAGTTTTATGGACCCAACAACAATGAACATTGATAATTTTTAAAATCTGTTTATTTCATGTTATATTTTAATTTTAAGGGGATATGGTGATAGAATATGCTGGTGAAGTGATTCGCGCAGTCTTGGCGGACCAGCGCGAGAAGCGTTATGAAGCTATGAGCGGACGCCGCGGGGTCGGCGGCTGCTACATGTTTCGAATTGATGACAATTTAGTAGTTGATGCAACCCTGAAGGGTAATGCTGCAAGGTTTATCAACCATTCCTGCGATGTAAGTGAAATTTTTTATCTGAACATTGATACCTTTTGATGTTTATTATTTCTATAGTTATTAATCATTTCTTAACTTTTATGAAACAGATGAAACATTGTTATTTTAATGTGATATAACAAGCGTTTAGAAATTTGACCGTTACATACCCTATGCCCCATGATGCTTCATGCAGTCTATGGGCGGAAAACGTAAAAGTCATTCAACAAAAATTCTTGTGATCCATCTAGGTGCGCTTTGTGTCCGTGTCTCTATTAATTTTGTAAAAGAATTAAATTCATTGGTTTCCTACAATAGTTGTAATGAACAAGAATTTTATTGCACTAGTGTAGTTTTTTTATGTAAGAAGGAGGAAAGCGAGCTGGCGGATGCTAAGTGATAACTACCGCCTGTGGGCATATGCAACACCCGTAGGGTTGTAGATGCGTTGCCACCGTTAAATAAGTTAGGCCCCGATTACATCACTCACCAGACGAAACGCAGAATTACAACACACTTCATGCTGGTCTTCTATGAGGTCGTGATACTTCCCCGGATGGACTTGCCCATTCGTGCAACAGCGAACCTACCACTGCGTAAAAAGTAGAGAGATGTTTTGTACGAGAGTTTTTCTGTATCGATATATTTTTATTTAACTATTATTTCAGCCTAATTGCTACTCACGGGTCGTGGATATCCATGGACACAAACATATTCTGATCTTCGCGCTTAGACGCATCACCGTCGGAGAGGAATTGACATACGATTACAAGTTTCCCTTTGAAGAAGTAAAGATACCGTGCACATGCGGTGCAAAGAAGTGCAGAAAATACCTCAATTAATATAAAGAAGACATTGTGTGTGTGAGTGATTTTTCTGTGTCAATTGTGCTTGCTATGATGTTATATCAGGCAAATGGAGGATTTTGCAACAATAGTTGTGCACTATAATAAATTGTGGAAGTCTATTCTTTTTCACAACCTTCTATTTAGTGTCACTAGTTGGTGTGAAATTGATGTGAGCCAAAACTTGTTATTGCTGGCTTACACTTCTTTAATAGCATAATAACTTAAGTACATAGTGGAATTATTCGGCATAAATTTTTTGTCGACATATTTTTGGCTTAAACCTAAAGAGACATTGTTAATGCAGGATGTGTATAGTGATGGATCTCCACATTATTCATTTAGGGAGAGCTGTGCGGTTAAGAAATACTGGGTCGAGCACAATTTTTTAAATGTAAATATGTATTGTAAGACAATAAGTCCAATTCACATATCGCTTTCCCACCTTTTAACCTTGACATATGCAGTGCCACAATTGGACATGTTTCCATGAATCTAGTTATGATCTCTTATACTTTGAATCTGCCCAGTGTTTGAAATTATTGGATTGTATATTACATTGGTTTTACTTAAAGAATATTCTTATTTTGTGATAAGTTTTTTATGCATTATGTACATATTTAGTTTCCAATTACTTAGGACTGTTAAGGTTTGCGAAGGGTTTAAGTGTTTACACTTAACTTTGATGTGATATGTTTAGCCCATCTTGGGTATGAGAATGGTTAGTGCGTAGTGTACAATGGAATTTGTTCCTCATTATGTTCTTAACATTTCTTCACTTGTGATCAGTTAAGTCTCGACTAACTTGTACATACAATGAAAGTTTTAATTATAAAACATGAAATTAGTACATTCGAAAGAAGGGTAGCAAAGTTTCAAGTACAATGTTACTTTTTAGTAATTTTAATGTGTATTGTATAGCAAATTTGTAAATAAGAGGAATTATCTGTCATAATAATAAGATTTAAGCGACAAATCGTTTTATTGTAGTCATAGTAGTAGGTTGTATTTTATAGAACATTATGTACTGTATATACTAAGTTATTAGGTGTGCTGGTTAATAAGAGGGAGACGAGTTGTTATAATAAAGATAGTGGACTGGACATACAAAACATAACTCCCACTCAAGCACGGTTTAACAAGAAAAAGCACATTTATTAGCTTTAAAACATTTTCAGCACATCTTGGGTTTTTAACACATATTTTTTAGGATCTTTTTTCCAGTTTTTCATTCAATTGTGTGTTAATTGAAAAACCAAACAAAACATTAATATTAAGCATCACAATACCATCACAATCAATCAGAACCAGTGAACACCATGTTTACACATCTCGCAAACTTTAACATTTAAGATGATGAGGAAATATAGTAAAGTATAATAGTTGGATTTACTACTGCATCTTACAATAGCAGTATTAATATAATGTTGCCCACAAGTATTTTATACAAGTGATGAAGCCTATAGCAGCAGATTATACATATAGAATTAGTAATTTCAAATTTTTACAGTTAATAAATAATTATCTAAATGTTTATATTTCAATGTCACATATATATTATGAATAAAAATATTTTCTTTGTATGTTGTTCAGTTGCTAATTAAATTCTAATTTGATCATTATTTTTTGAAAAATGTGGTTTTCCTGTTTTTTTTACTCATATTTTAGTTAAAATAAAATAACACCTAACCTTGATTAATAATATATCATTATGACACAAAAGTTTGTTTATGTTGCTTACAATCCAAAAACATTGAAACATACACATTTAATGCTATAACATTAATTTCAATAACATTATGGACCTAGTCTTAATCTAAATTACGACCTAGTTATTAAAACAGTGAGCCATTATTTCTTCTTTATATATTATACATAATGGTTGTTATTTTGTTTACATTTGATACGTGAGGTAGTCGAAAATATTAGCTTACATCGAGTTAATGATAATAAATTAAAAGTACAGGTAATTTTAATGTCTATGAATTATAATTAACATCTATTTTTAAATATTTAGTTTTGTATTAAAATAACATTAACTTAAACTTTCTTTATACTTATTCTTTGGACCCCAGCATTGTTTTATAATTATTGATTAATGAATAATATTGGAAATCTGATGAATTGTTTGTTGTAATTAAAGTAATGCTTTAAATTGTGTCTGTGCATGTGCATTTTATTAGTCCTGTATACAGTTATAAATAAATCAAAAAGACCAAATCACTTAGTGATGAATCATTTTTTTTTGTTAATGATTAAGTGTAAATGTCGGCTCTTGATATTATTTTGTGTTAAAAATAATGCTTTTACTTTTAATGTACACATGCCATTTTGCCTAATGTTATTATAAATTATATTATATTGCTTTAAAAGCACCAATTTTACAATGCATAGTTCTATGACCTGTCTATACATTTTATTACTTTATTTATTTCTATCATTATTTTGTATTGTGGTAAATTTTACCAAAAATAAAAATACTAAAATGTGCTTTATTGCTTGTTTTATTTCATCTCTATCTTCATTGTGGGGCATCAGGATATATTTGCAGACGAAACTCTTTTGCTAACACTTGCTTTCAGTCCCGAGGCTATTAAGGCTTCATCAGACGCAGAACCGGTGGGCTAGCCAGAACCCACGGGTTTGGAAATCGAAAGTATAACGCTTCTATTTGACGCCGGTTTTTTGTGAGGCCATAGTACTTGAATAAGTATATTCGTGAACGTTACGTCTATCATTTGAATCACTAACGAATAATGTGCTCACGAAATATAATTATGCCGGTTTGTGTTATCAAATCGTGTCACATATCAGGAGAGGACGGAATTACAGCGAAGTTTCATTTTGTACAATGAAAGCGGGTGCAGAAACGGTACGGTTCTGGTTCTTCAGAGACTCGTTTTAAGTCCTTTCAGTATGGTACTACACTAGGGGCGTGGAGCAGAAGTGTGGTGATACTGTTCTTCGAGATAGGTGATTACGCTCTCTTGAAGAACTATAAACCGATATCCCTTCTGAGCCACATCTATGTGCTGTTTTCAAGAGAAATCTTGAATCGAATCGCTTCCAAACTCGAAGAATTCCAGCCTCCCAAACAAACCGGATTCCGAAAAGGCTTCAATACCATATACCACATACACACTTTGTGGCAGATTATACCGACGAGTGTAATCTGCTTTGTTTTGTGCCTATGGACTATGAGAAAGCCTTCGATTCTGTCAAAAAGCTGAGCAGTACTACGGACCATTCAGCAGTGCCAAAATTGACTGTTGGTATACGGAGGTGTTTGTATAAAAAGGCTACGATGTCTGTCCAAGTTTAGTCCAGTAATACAAAACCTATTCAACTGCAGAAGTGTGTAAGACAGGGTGATGTCATATCCCGAAACTCTTCACCGCTGCATTGGAAAATGTTTTCAAGCTTCTGGACTGGAAAGGACATCCTGTTAACACTTTACCGCATAGAAATCCATATATGGTTCACCAGATCCAGTATTTTTTTTTTTCATGTAATGATGCATGAACAATAACTAATCGCATTGTTTATATTGTATTTAATATGTTGGCAATACGAAAACATTTTTTGTTGGCTATTTATTGTCAATACGTTATTGCCGAGCCGTGATAGCTCAGTGTCCGGGCGCTCGCCTTTAATTCAATATACTCGAGCAACCTGAGTTCGATCCCCGGTGCCGGCACCAATGAAGTTTTTAACTTTAAGTGCTGACTTATCACGTGCTCCGCGGTGGAGGAAAACATCGTGAGGAAACCTGCATATTTTCGAAATAATAACAAAAAAAAATATTTTTCGAAGATATGTGAAGTCCGCCAATCCGCAGTGGGGCCGCGTGGTGGACTATGCCCTGATACCCTCTGTATAGAGGAGGCCTTTGCCCAGCAGTGGGACATGTATAGGCTGTTACTTTACTTTACTTTTACGTTAATTTAGTTAAAACTACACTTCTAAGCGCGGGTGTGAAGTTCGACACAGTGGCTGTAAATTTGTTTTTCAAAAATGTTTTTCTACATAAAAAAGGCAAGATTCGTTGGTTAAAAAATTAAAATATAATGTTGTTATTCTTATATTATAAGTATGTTTTTTTTGTTTGATACTTTTTTCTTATTTCTATCATATTTGGGGGCTTTTTGCGTGAAACCATAATATGGTTTCGCATGCATAAAATACATAACTAAAATAACTGTTTTACTGCGGAACCAAACATGGTTTCATATGCACTTGTAATTGTTTGTTATAAGCATGAAATTAATTTTCCTTAGAATGATGGAATAGAATGGATCCTGCTCGCTTTTATGGCTCTAATAACTATGTTAATCCTATATCTGGTGATGGTTTACAAAGTGGTGATGAAGAATTTCAACGTCACTCAAAGAACATCTCTTGTTATACTCGAAACAGATAGTTATTCCACTGATAACAAAACTGATCCGCCACTGATAACAAAACTGATCCTCCACTGATAACAAAATTGATCCTCCAGTGATAACAAAACTGATCCTCCACTGATAACAAAATTACCTTTAACTAGCCACGCCGAAAAAAATTAAAAAGACATGCAAATCATAAAATATTTTTGATGATTTGCTTGAATGCCAAAAATGTCTTCTTTGCGACCATTAACTTACACCATGTGCAAAATGTAGGATTCTCTTATGTTACAACTACAAACGAAACTAGTTGTCGGCATTTCATGATTAAAATTACAGTGGTAATTTATATTATTTTAATAATAAACTAAAATTTCTAACCCTTTCTTTACTTCATATGAACCTATATACAGTGTGTCGTTACCATCGCTACAATAAATGAACACACGTCTAACGCTACTTGCCAATAATCATAAAAAAATATTAAAGTTAAAAAAAATCCAAAATTAAAAAAATATATTTTTCAACAAACTAATAAGGTAAAAAAGGAAACAAAATTTGTAACACCTATACAACTACAACTGACTGATTCATACATTCAGATACTTT